ATTTGACATCATACTTCAAGATTTTTTTTTTAAACAATTCTGAGTAGGAAAACTATTAACAATATAGTCCTGTTCACCACTACTCAAAAAATAAGTCCTAATGAATTCAACAGGCTTTCTACAGAAGTACACAGATCTAGAGCTGTCACTTAAGGCATATTCATAAATCAGCTTGGTTCCACCTCAATGACAGAATTCTCCAGCTCAGGAACATGTACAAGGACGCATCTAGTAACTCCTTCCACAAGCATAACCCTTGTTGAAATCAGCAGGACTGGACTTATGCTCTGCCTATTCTGCAAGAGGATTATGGTCTTTGTTTCTGAACTAATGTTATTGGGGGGAAACGTGCCAATACTGTGCATTATCAGTAATTTATGAAACCACCAAGCAAAACATCTAAAAGTACTAATATAATTCCAAAGGCTTGGGGTGATGTTTTGTTGTTACTGATTTTGGGTGTATGTTGGGGGAACACACACTGAACACATACTGACTGAAATAAAGCCAGAATTTACTTGGAGAAGAATTAAGTGTGATGCCCGGATGGGTTTGACTTCTGCATTGGTATTCCTTCCATATTTTTCTAGGAGACAATTATTAATCGATATCTGGTAATTTACTAATGCCTGCAACATCGCTTAACTCCAAACTGAACACAACATCTCAGGTCTAAGTTGCCACCTGTGGGAAAGTGGTCTCTCTCTCTCTTTTATTTTCTGTGCATTCTCATGGATGTGTGCTCACACTCACACACATATGTGCATGCACATGGGCACAAAAAAAATAGAGAGAGTGATGGGTCTCAAATGTAACATGAGCATGTTAGGCAGCTTTATCCAACTTTGTGCTCCAATGAATGGATTCTATTATTTAAACACTCATTACTTCTGATTCATTATATTCCAAGTCAACAATTCCATACACACACTTGAAGAGGATTAAGGCACTTTATAGCTTATACAGTAGGTGCTTACAGAGTTATGGAGAGAGCTCTTTGTAAAATTACAAAGATAAATTGTCCCTGTGGAAGACTCATAATCATTATTTTGACTATAGGAAAGTCTTTTGGTTTTGACTATTTTCTAAGTACCATGCCTGTACTACTGTAGAGGATGACATTTGAAGATTTGATAGGACAATCCCTCTGCTACAGATCTAATCCCTACAGGGTTTTTAGTGAGTTTTAACAGTTCATAAAGTACTTTGATGTGTGGAAGTGAAAGATTTTCTACTAGTGGACAACATTAAGCTGCAAGGAAATGAAGGAAATCAAATACTCCAAGAGTGACACTCTCTGAACACTGTACAGTACCTGATTTAGCCATTCAACCAAGCTTACTAATAATTTCTTGTAGGCATACTGCCACAGGATGAGTAGAAGGACATCAGTAGGAGAAATAAAAATATTCCTAGCACTTATCTGTGAAGCTGCCCCAAATCCACATTACTTTAATAGTCTCTCTCTCTCTCTCTCTCTCTCATGTTCAAGAACATATCTTTTGTTGTTAAAAAATGGGAGTCAGTGGCAGAAACTGCCATGACTAATAGCAGCAAAATATTACCCCCCTATGGATAAAAACTGCTTCGAAGTATTGATATCTGTGCAACCAAAGCACAAATGAATCCTGTGCTTATCTTGGGCTAACCAATCACTGAACAAGAACAAGTTTATTTGCATTATACAAGGTCTGCAAACATCATAGTAGGAATAGTAGTAGTTATTAAAGAAACTGAAGCTCATCTTTGTTATGCGGTAGAGATCTGGCTGAGCAAAAAAACTTGACTCACCAGTCAAGTCAAAACTCTGGACCATCTGCCAGAATTTCTGGCTTTCCTTTGCTTGTCAGGGATGGAAAGAATTAAATGTCTGTTCTACAGATGGGTAACCATTCAAAAATTCTTCAAATGGCAAGACCCTTAAAATGGCCTACTTAATACAGAAAGCAAATACAATGCTTAAAGAATGCTTAAAGTTCCCAATGCCTTCAGCTTTCTTTCTTTTTTTTAACACTGCTGAGTATTTATTGAGAACTTCTAAGGGCTCAAAATCTCTTTGCATAATGCAGTTTTAGCAATCTTTAAAACAAGAGCTGCAAGTGTAATTATTCCTCTCCAGTAATGCTACTGATGCAATTATAATTACCCAATGCATATCACATCCATGTACAACTCCTGAGCGCACAGGGGACTGGCTAACACAGCAGTCTCTGCAATGGTCAATTTAGGCGCCAAATGAATTGAAATTCTGCCATCTCCTAAACCTGATTTACTTATTTAACAAGGACCTGAAAAATATTTCCTTCATTATCTGTGCAAAGCTTATGGCATGTTCCAGTGTGCACAGCAACAAGACATACAGCACATGTGGCGTTACCAGAAAACCAAGAGCAACACATATGCTAGTTCTAGGAGTGAGAGAATCTCCGATAGCCTAGGCTTGGCATGCTCCTTGATTAAATGCATATTTCAACTGGCAACATGCCACCAGCCTAGCTCCAAACGGCACACGAATGTTTTAACCGCTAGGGGGCAAAGCTTACCAAATGTAGATAAAAAACAGATAGTGAAAAAAAATGATTACTTGCACATTATACTACAAAGCCTATTGAGGATACATATAAGCACAAAAGAAGCAGAGGATACAATGATAACAAAAAGGAAGGAAAGTTATATTTAAAAAGTAGACTCTTGTATACCTGATTATTAATTTCACTGGTTGGTAATTAAGGACTAGACCAGAATTTCCAGATTATTTTAGGTATGCTACCATAATTACTGTTTTGGCATACTATACTAGATCTTATTAGATCAGAGGTGAGTCACTTTTATACTACTGTAGCTAATTCCACTTTCAGGCTTTGATAAAGTATTCTGATGCACAAGCAGACCCCTACATGAGTCCTCTGATGTTAAAACCATCAAACGATTACTATCTGTCAGCACAGGCTTCGTAACATTGAAGCATTGACTGTCAGGCATGCCAAGGCACCATGCACAAAATCTAACAGAGATACACAAATATTGTTTTATTACTTGATGCTTTTCTACTCACAAAAATCATCTCACGGAAATAGCAAGAAAAGATCAAAACCCACCTTAGAATAGAAGTTAAAATGTGCCCATAAATTTTACACCCATATTCCATTAATCTGATAAGTGTTTTTGTTTATAATGAAAACATTTTTGGGTGTACTCTGTTTCAAGTCCAAGCGCTTTTTACCTAGGAAATCTAGGCACTGTTGCCATAAGTCACAATCAACCTGACAGTGCATAATTAATAATTAATTAATAGGTCTACCAGGGAGAGAGAAAATTATCTGGCAGTCCCTAACTAGCCCAAGGACAGCCAACCATACTTTTAATTAAAACTCATCCTGTTGTTTACAGAATCAGTTACTTTTACAAGAACAATAGCAAAGCAATAGCCTGTAATTAAACTGGGGCTCTTTTTCTTCCTTTCACCCTTCTTCATCTTTTGTTTGTACTGAGGTAAACCAAGTTAACCATCATTATATCTTAACAACTGCTTGTGCTAAGAAGCTCCAGAGGAGGGGGGGAAAGCTCAGAATGAATATGAGGAAAGGAACTGACAAAAAAGAATGTTTGGCAAGAAAATGAGAATAGAAAAATACTCAGACAGTAAATTCCAGAATTTTCTTTTGCAACATAGCCTCCTAAACTGTCATTTTAAGAACATATTTTGAGTTTAGAATTTTCTTATTTGAGTTTATGTTATTTGGAGTGTTAAAGTGGCTTCCTTTGTTATTTTTGAAGCATTTGTACAATGTTAAGTAATTTCTCCACCTGTCTCTTGCATATTAGAACGAGAAAGGCACAACAACAAATAGATTTCATAGTCACTAACTAATATGGGCATTCCCTCCATTCTGTGCCTCAAAAGAAAATCCTTCAGGAAAGTGCTTTCAGTTTCAAGTAATCTTTAAAGCGTACATTTCACTCTGAGGGCTACAGCATAGCCCATTTCAGTAAGCCACCTTTCCCCAAGCATCCAATTTTCATATTCATTTGATACAAGTAATACCCTCCATACATTGCCCTTTACATTTGGCATATTTTCTGTAAGAAACTGTCAGGGCCCCCACCATCTTAGTTCACATTTTGCACATTTAGGAAGTACCTCAGAGAGCAGCATGATGAGAGTCAACAAGGATTTCATTACTGACTTCTAGCTGACAGGACAGGAGCAAGATTGTTACTGTATTATCTCCAAGTAGCCCCCTACTGACAATAGCCAACATCTTTATAATGAGGCCCCCTGTACAGGCAGCACTCACTGATTATCTATGCATTTTAAACTCTTGTCTTTTGGTTCCATTCCAAGTAAATCAAATGTGATGACACTAACGGTTCTCTCTCGTGAAATTACATTATTTGTATGTAAACTATACAGTGACAAGGGCAATTACCTTCAAGAGATTTGAATAAATAGCATGACTAGATATTTTGTTTAACAAGTCAGCTACCATAAAAAATAAAAATAATTTTGAAAAAAAACATTTAACAAGACCTGTGGAAAGGCATAAAAGGACCGTTTGTTTCAAATGAACCTGAGCCACTGAAACAGTTACACATTCTAAGAAAATGGGCATTGTTCTGCAGAAATGAAAAAGAAGAAAACTGAATTTTTTTTAATAAAATGTACTTCTACATTTTCACAGTAAAATAACAATAACTGTGTTATTGTTAAAAATAAGAGGTGTAATTGTGTGCTTCGGGCTTGTCTACTTTGCTTCTTCCTTATGACGGAATCTCCTAAAGCCAGGAAAGCAAGACTGGGAGGCAATTAGATTCTCAGCGTTGCATAATAAGCCCACAACTAAGCAGGAATAAGCCCTCACATCTGTTAGGTTTACATTTTCACACATCCTATTCACTTGACTTTACTGGACTACCTAGGCACTTTGACATGAATGGCACCCTGCTTAGTCTTATTGGGGTATATTCCATAAGGTTACTGAACTGTAGGAGAATCTGACCTTTTTCTTGATGGCCCTTCTTCAAAATCTGAAGAACTAATGTCATTGCTAGTTGAGGACACCTGTGATGCATCATCCTTCTCATTCTCTAGCTGTTCGGACCCCGGTCGTAATCCTTTAGACTGGCCATTACTAAGGAGTCCTGCAAATAAGAAAGATAAAATCTACAATTAAAAAAGCAGTAAGACAACAAATAATTAGGGATAAGTTCACTCTAAAAAACACCAAAAATATGTGTGTACACACTTGTTACATACATGCACACTCAAATGCTTGCAGAAGTACCATCAAAGCAGTATCTGTAAAAAAATACAGCTCAACAAACTGATTCCAGTAAAGCATTTAAAGGACCAATTATACTGCATCAAACCATTATCTCAGTAATATTTTTCTACAACCTTTATGGTTGGCAATTCCATCACAGACTTTTGACTCAGCACTTATTTAAAATGTTCTCAGACCACCTTTAATTATAACATCTTTTAAAGGCAGCTTTCAAAATAAATTTCAGTAGAATAATCAAGGAAACAAATCAATAAAATGCAAGCAGTAATACATTCAGACCTCCACTACATCAATTAAAATATCTGCAACTTGAAATAGGTTTCAAGAGAAAGCCAAATAATATAAATCGGTGTTCAGAGTTTCCTAAGGCCAATGACAGAACCTAAGGACAAACTTGATGAAGACAAACACATTTTGTTCGTTTTTTGAGTGATGGACGTGAGTTCAGGAATCCAGCCATGCAACTCACTAGGTGGCCCTTGGTCAGCCACCCTCTTTTAGCCTGACCTACCTCACAAGACTTTTGTGAGGATAATGTGAAGAAGAGAAGAGTTGTGATACCATCCTGAGTTCTAGCAAACATTGTCATGTACATCATCTAGAAAAACAGTGGGCCACAGTAACTAATAAAAAGCAAACAGCAGTATCTGAAGTTCTCGAAGGAGAAAAGTGCCTAAAAAGATAGGACGTGGGGAGACATAGCAAAGGGAAGAGGTTCAACTGTCCTCAATAGTTTTAACCTTCATGCCTAGTTTAGTCTTTAGTTACTGCACCAGTTTCTGGTCCTCAGGTGCTCAGAAATCCCCAACAGGTTTTCAAATGTCTCTCTAAATCACGGGAGTTTAAGCGTTGTTTCTTTTATCCCTTTATCTTTGAGATCACAACTGACTCAAAACACAGACAGAAAATTCAATACAATGTTGTTTTTCTTGACCTGTAGTATTCAATACTGCAGACATTTTTTATGTTCAGTAAAGGAGTAGATTTTTCTGTATAGTTTCAGTTTCACCCCCCCCATTGCTGCTGAGAACCCTGCAGTAAGACCCTAATTTACAGTGACTGGAAACATACCAGTATCACACAGCTAAGGTGCTGGCCAGGCAGGCAGCCTTAAACAAGCTTAAGGCTCATATCTGTGTTGGTACAGAATGTAAGAATTTCAGAAGTACTGTACTACCTCCAAGAGTAATAGATATATGAACCATTTATAAATCTGTTACTCATAAAGGTGCCACAATACTTTTTCCTTTAATTCGTTTTTTGCTGAAAAGGAAGCTCTCTTTCTCTTAACATTACAATAAGAATTTGTTACTGTTTTTCATACTGTCATCTAGGTTTTTATGCTGAAAAAATAAAGATTTGAGGGACAACAAATCTCTAGATTTCTACATAGAAAACTGGGATTATAACAGGTACAATCTCTTAATCCAATTCTTTTTTTAAACAAACCTCCAGTTTACGAATGTGGGATATTATGCTTTTGTATCCATGATTCAAAACACCAGGAAATAGCCTAATATTAATGCACAATATCATGCCTGTGTTGCCAGCACGAAAAAGGACGCCAAGTTTACATAGCAAAGGACAGCCTGAATGTTGACAACACCAATGGCAGCAGTCAAGATGGTCTAGAGCACTGGTTCTTAACCTTGGGTTACTCAGGAGTTTTGGACTGCAACTCCCAGAAGCCTTCACCACCAACTGTGCTGGCTGGGGTTTCTGGGTGTTGCAGTTCAAAAACATCCAAGTAACAAAGGTTAAGAACCACTGGTCTAGAGCAGTGGTTGACCAAGGTGGAGAACTACTGGTCTACAGGATACCCTCTTGTGCTCACTACCATTCACAAAGTGATACCATGTAAGGGGGAAAAATCGAGAACCTGACTAAAAAAAAATCAGTTAACCACTTCTCATCCAAACACAAAGTTTTTCAACAAGTTCTGAAGTTATTTATTGCTTGGAAAATATGGATGATAATCAAAGTGCCATGATGAAACCTCTGCTTGGGTGTGTGCGTGTGTGACTCACAAGGGCTTATACATCCAGACAATCAGTCATAATCATGAGTAAACTGGCAGCCTGAAGACTAGATTCTTTAAAAAAAACAACTACACACAGAGGTAGGGACAACCATTCTCTTTCAAGACAACCAAGATTTTTTCAAGTTATATTTGAAAATCTGGGGACATTTGAGGTCATCTATTTCTGAACAGAGGTATGCAACAGTTTTACTTTTAAAAAATCATAACTCGAAAACCTTTTGTCCAAATGCCCCCAAATTTGCACACAGCTAGAGCAGACTGTTTGCTACAATTGTGCCAAATTTGGTGCTGATCTGAAGCCCAGTTTCAAAGTTGTAATTTTGTTTGGGCTGCACTCATTTTTCGAATTGCCTTTTAGAATGTCAATTTGCTCTGCCACCACAAGATCATTGCTACACTCTCATGCAGCTATAATTATGGTACCTTTGAATTATAGAACAATCAGTCTTCATAAAATTCCATACATTACATTTGACTGGTGTTGTTATGAAACACATCTCTGAATTGTTAATATGGGGCTTAACTGAGTCCACTTGGAGATATACACACAATGGCTGAAATCCTGCTCATATAGATTCCAATATAAGTAGTTATCTGGAAGTTGAGTCAACTGGACTTCTTTCGTATTAGGTTGAAACATTTTGTTACACATCCAAGTAGCTTCTTCAGTCTGAGGAGAGTTGGTAGGAGGCCCCTGATATATCCTCCAAGTTGGTTTCATTTTCCCCTGGTCTGAATAGGCTCCTGAGATGGACAAAGGACTGGGTGAGTGAAAATCCCATTTCTGCAGTCCTTCTCAACCCATTGTCATGGATTGTTAAGAGTGGTCTTTCTGGTGTGTGGTCCTGATCTTTCTGGGGAGGGATGAATAGGCAGCATGATAAACAGGAGACAGATTGTATCTAAGGCCTCCACTGCTGCTGAGTGAGGGATGTATGGCCTCCCTGACCCCTCTCTCAAACCACCTATCTTCTCGGTCCAAAATGAGGGCATCTTGGTCATCAAATGAGTGTCCTTTTTCCTTTAAATGAAGGAACACTGCTGATTGTGGTCCTGAGTCAGGGCCTTTCTCCTATTTAGTGGCTATTTAGTTTCTCCAATGTTTCAACCTAATACTGTAAGAAAGATGTCTAGTTGCCATGACTCAACTTCCTGATAACCTCACCTGGATGACTGAGAATCTTCACAGAAATATAAGTAGTTGTAGAAGACGTTAGTCTGTGCAAGCATTATACGTGATGTCTGATATTATATCTGATGAAGTAGATTTGTCTATGAAAGCTCACATCAAAAAGTATAAAAGTTAGTTCCAATATAAGTCTCCTTCATTTTTTTGCTACTTCCTTAGCAAATGGCAAGGTAGATTTCACCACACATTTGGACCCACAATGTGACCAAAAATGGGAGAATGTGAGCCAAAACATCCTCCCACATGCACCCAAAGTGATGCTTTCAATGGTTCAGTCAAGACAGCTTGTGGGTTGAAAGCAGCCTTAATGGGCTCAATTTAGGCCTATATTCAAACCAACAGTCCCTAGCAACTGTTTATTGTTATACCTTCATTATGTGGATAATGAAGGTATAACAACTCTTAGCACATTATATGCATTTAGTAAAATCTTCAACACACTTTGCCACCTCACCACCTTTCACAACCTTGCAGGGAGAAGATAAAATCAAAGTAAGTAAGAGCACTGCTCAATCAGACCATGCAACTACAGTGGTGCCTTGACTTACAAACGTCCCTACTTGCGACCATTTTGAGTTACAACCAGCTCTGGCTGCAAAATTTTGCTTCAAGTTGCAGCCGGAGCTTCCAGTTACGAACACAAAAAGGCAGGGGGGGAAGGCGGGAAATTCAAATTGCTAACTGTAAGTGGCGAAAGAGGCTGCTTCTTTGTAGCTCTGTTGCCTCAGCAGCTAGAGAGTGTGCGATCAGAGGAGGCTGCCTGGTAAGGCAAGGTGCTGTTTTCTGCTTTTTAAAAACTGTTCTGGGTGGGTTTGGCAGTGTGGTTTTGGGCTGGGAGGGTATGTTTCTGTGCTGTGTTGTTGTTTTGTTTTTTGGTGAATTTTTTTTTGCCGCCCCAGCGTCTTTGCTCCCTTGTTTATTTTTTGTTTGGGTTGTTTTCCAGTCTCAGTGCCTTTGGGGCTTGCTTTGCTGTTCATGTTTGGTTTGGTTTTTTTTTAAGCCCCAATGACTGAGCTTGCTTTGCTGTTTATTTTTGGGTTTTTATTTTTTTTAAAGACCCAGACATCCTAGCTAATGCCCGAAAGCCTGCCACTGTTAAGCTCTATTCCTATAAATGGACTGTCTTCACCAAATTTGCTCTCCAACATCATCTTCCTACCAGTCCTACGACCCTGCAAGCTGTCCTTCAGTTTCTGTCCCATCTATCTTGTAAACAACTCTCCCTTTCTACTCTCAAAGTTTACCTATCTGCTATAATAGCTCATCAACCTTGAGGTTCTGATGCTGCTCTGCTTTTTCGTCACCCCACATTGAAACTCTTCCTTAGAGGTGTCTCCAATATGCATCCTTCTGCTCCCGCACCTTCCCCACAATGGTCTCTACCTGTTGTTCTTCACTGGCTTTCCCGTGCTCCATCTGAGCCACTTGCTACCATCTCTGAGCACCTCCTTTCCCTCAAGACATTCCTCCTGGTCGCCGTTACTTCTGCTCGGAGAGCCTTGCTGCCCTCAGGGTCGATCCTCCATTTCTTCAGTTTCACCCAGACAAGCTCACCCTCTTCCTTGATGTCTCCTTTCTACCAAAGGTTGTGTCACATTTTCACTTCTCACAACCTATTGTTTTACCT